AGGGCTGGGTGGCAGCAGGTGGCTGGTTCGTGCCGTGCCAGGTGCAGGGTCTGCTGGCTGGGTGCTGGCAGGCTTGCACCTGGCATGGGCACCGCAGCCAGCCTGTGCCTCTTTAAGGGCTCCGGAGCCGGGAGGGGGGCAGACGAGTTTCCCTGGTGGTGCCCAGAGTGGCCACCAGGGAAAGCTGGGGAAGGCTAGCCTCCCACTTGTTCGAATTAAGAGGCTACACAGCCCTTAATTCGAACTAGTTAATTCGAACTAGGTGTTAGTCCTCGTAGAATGTGGTTTACCTAGTTCGAATTAAGCGCACCACTAGTTCAAATTAAGTTCGAACTAGCGGTTTGTATGTGTAGCGCCTATCAAAGTTAATTCGAACTAACGTCTGTTAGTTCGAATTAACTCTGTAGTGTAGACATACCCTATAGGTGTTTGGTCCCAGGGCCCTTCAAGGACAGCATATTTTCCTTTCTTTGGCCATAAGAAGTGCTTATGACAGCAGAAGCAGGGGCTTATTACCCTACCAAGAAAATAAGACAATTTAGAGGAAAGGAGTCAGATAGCTCAAAACTTAAAGGAAAAACAATTTCAGGTTTGTAGCTATCTAGTTATCTACTGCACTCATGAATGCCTTACAGGTTAATAATGCAGTGTTCAGAAGGACCTCACCTTTCTTTTTCCTACTGTCATCTTCTCTCTCACCTACAGTGGTTTACCCCAGCTCCTCTCTACTCTATCCCTGCCCGTCCTCACCCCTCCCCACCTCTTCAATCCCCTCTTTCATTCATCCAGCTTTAAAAAAGGGTCAGGAAAGAGTCAGTCCAGCTTGAAATGCAAAGGTGAAACTGATGCATAGGAATAAATTTAGGACTGGTAACATTCTTTGCAACTATCCTATAAGAGCCACATGCAACTCTTTTGCCACAATGCCATTTCACTACATAGCATTTTGTGCCTTCAATTTTTTTTTCTTCACTAGACTTTAGAAATAATTGTTTTGCAATGCCATGCTGAAATGGGTCTTCATTGCAATACTATTTTGGACTTCAAAACTGCATTATTTTTCTGAAAACAAGACTATTTTTTGCATGAATAAAAGTCCAATGTCTGCTCAAACTGTATAATGTGCTAACATTAGCATGCAATTCCACTTGCAAACTGAATCAAGTGAAAAATTTTGTCTGCAAGAAGAGAGATCCTGTTTGCAAGGCAACAATGACATTTTTGAAGGTTTTTACTAATTGGACTATTTCATCAAAAAACACAATCCAACTGACACCAGTGTTATCAAACGTCACTGCAAGCATTTTGTAACAGCCACAGTTTTCACTCTTGGATATTTGTAGTGACTTCAGGCACCTTCAGAAACTTAGAAGGATCATGCACATTAAACACAAGGTTCTACCTGGCAGCATGTTTCAATCATATCTCAGCTTCTATTCCTCTAGCCTGAAATTATACTGTATATTTAACAGTTTTAGCAGAAGATCGGTGGCTGTTGTAAGTAGCTACTTTTTACAGCTATATTTCAGATTCCAAGGAAATCAGTATCTGAGGAGGGAGGTAGTTAAGAAAATGAAATAATTACAAATCAATAAAAACCTCAAAAGCCTTGCAATAGTGAACAGCAGCAAAATAACCAAACCTTAAAAAAAAAAAAATCCCACCACCACCACAACCACCAAAACCAAGAGGCCCAATTCTCTGCAACTTTCCATCAAAGTCAAAGACTTTCTACCAGAGGGCCAAATCTTTGCTCCCATTACCCTGGTTGGGAGTATAAGCATATAGGTAGGGCCCTACCAAATTTACAGTAATGAAAAATGCATCATGGACCATGAAATCTGGTGTTGTGTGCGCTTCTACCCTATACTAGAATAGATTTCACGGGGGAGACCAGAGTTTCTCAAACTGAGGTCCTTCCCCAAAAGGGGAATTGTCGGAGGTTGCATCATTGCCACCCTTCCTTCTGCGCTGCAAGGCAGAGAGCAGCAGTTGTTGGTGTCCAGTCCTGGAGTCAGGGTTCTACCGTCGCAGTGCAGAGTAAGAGTGGCAATACCATCGCATGGCAGCCTTGTTTCTGAACTGCTCCTGGCAGTGACCCTGCTTTCAGGTCTGGGCACCTGGTCAGCAGCTGCTGCTCTCTAGCTGCCTGGCTCTGAAGGCAGCGCCCCACAAGGGCAGCAGTACCACAGCTCTCACCATAACCCCTTTGCTAAGTCAGGACCAGGCCTGCCAAGAGGCCTAGGGCAGGGAAAAGGGCAGTTGCCCTGGGATCCGTGATTCAAAAGGAACTCCTGGCCGCTGCCACAGCTATTGGCAACGCAAAGAGCTGGCGCAAAGGGCTAGCTGCCTCTGGCCCCTGCCTCTTCCAGGAGCGCAGAGCTGTCCCCCCCCCCTTCACTT